GTTTGATATTATCAGTGGGATTTTTGCTGCTGCATCACTGATGACAGAGATTTTACATCAGGTCTATGTTTCGTGACCTTCAGAGATATGCACGAGCTACTACTTTCATCCGTCAGGCTACTCCTATTACGAGACTTGACAAAATTCATCATTGAGAACAAAGATTCCCAAGCGTATGTAGATGAAACCAAAACACTGGTCGGATCTAGGAAGGCAGGGAGAGTTAAGGCAGAGGCATAGAAATTGCTCTTCCCCTCTCGTCAATCCATTTCTATGGTCTTTAAGATAACTTGTTATGTAAAATTATTTATCTAAGATGCACCTACACTGAATTTATCTGAAAAATAAAAAAGTCAATATTAAGAAAAAAATTGTAAATGGAAGATTATAAGAGAGGGTTTCTCATGCCAGCAAAAGTTACTGGCGTGCCATGTTTGACACGCGTGCCAAGGGTTGCCCACCCCTGTCCTAGGAGATGTGTTGGTAAACATATTGTTATGAGATATGTCTGATATTTTGCTGCCTATGGATTCTTCTAAGATTTTTATGGTTACCCATCTTACATTTAAGTCTTTTATCCATTTTGCATTTATTTTTTGTGTATGGTGTAAGTTGGTGGTCTAGTTTCCTTTTTTTGCATGTATCTGTCCAATTTTCCCAACACCATCTATTGAAGAGACTGTCTTGACTCCATTGTATGCTATTGCCAAATATTAATTGAGCATAATGGGTTGGGTCTATTTCTGGGTTCTCTGTTCTGTTCCATTGGTCTAAAAGTCTGTTCTTGTGCCAGTACCAGGCTGTTTTGAGAACAGTGGCTTTGTAATATAGCTTGATATCTGATATTTAAATGCATTTTAGAAATATTTCCAAGTTTTGCTTTATAGCACATGCTAATTTTCATAGTGTAATTATCTTGTCATGGGTGATTGGAGTCTACCAACATGATGTCATTGAATGTGATTTGGAGAGATGTGCACAATCAGCTTGAAGCCAATGTGAACCAGCAAATAATAATCAGTTTGGACAGAAAAAAATAGAAAGTTCACCAGGAATTGATCATGATGGTAAATCAGTGAGTCCTCAATAACATAGTATAAAAACACAAATTCGCAATTATAATTGTGTAACATGTTTTACAAAAGATTTTGCATAGATCTTATAAGGGATTATGAATAAGGGAATAAAGAATTATTAACAACCTAATAGCAAATTTGACCAAGTTGAATATTAACAGCACTTGTACATGACAACAGAATGCGCATTCTATTAAGATTATATGGAGATGTCGACCATACAATAATTTTAGGACATCTACCTCACTGTGCTCCTGACTGCAACAAGAGGATTTAGTGATTGCCCCTTAAAGAACTTAACCCTATTGACACACATGTCTAAGGCCTGTTTTATATCTCTGTTCCTCAGGCTGTAGATGAAGGGGTTCAGCATGGGCGTAACTACTGTATACATGACCGAAGCAATTATGTCTTTGGAATCCCATGATGAGGAGAAAAAGTAAACACCTGTAGCTGTCCCATAGTATAAAGACACCACAGAGAGATGGGAGCCACAGGTAGAAAAGGTTTTAAAGAGTCTCTTAGTGGAGGGCACCCTCAGAATGATGTTCCCTATACAGATATATGAGCCTAAAATAATGCTCAATGGCAGGAAGGTAAGCATTCCTCCCACAGTGAATATTACCAGCTCATTGAGGTAGATGTCGGAACAGCTCAGCTTAAGGAGCACAATGAGGTCACAGAAGAAGTGGGTGATGGTATTGTTGGCACAGAAAGATAATCTGACCAAAAGGAGGGTGTGCAACAGGGCACTGCCACAGGAAACCATCCAGGAGCCAGCCACCAGCAGTGCACACAGCTCCTCCCTTATGATGGTGGTGTAGTGTAGAGGGTGACAGATGGCCACATACCGGTCATATGCCATCAGTGCAAGAAGGAAATTGTCAAGACCACCAAAAAGTATAAAAATATACAACTGAGACATGCATCCCACATAGGAGATGGATTGTTGCCGAGTCTGCATGTTCAAGAGCATCTTAGGGACAGTGACAGATGAGAAGGACATGTCAGAGAAGGCCAAGTGGCTGAGGAAGAAGTACATGGGTGTGTGCAGGCGAGAGTCCAGCCTGATGAGCAGGATGATGAGCAGGTTGCCCAGCACCGTGGTCAGGTACATGCCCAGGAACAGGGTGAAGAACATGCCCTGCTGCCCTGGCGGGATGGGGAACCCCAGGAGAAGGAACTGGGACACGCTGCTCTGGTTCTCAGGCCTCATGCTGCTCTTCTGTCTGCTGGGGATGAAGAAGGTGTGGGAATCTCAGGAACCTAGAAAGGAAGACCAGAACCATCACATCTCATACTGTCATTGGGAAGAAAACCATTCATTTTTAAATACTTTCATATTTATTTCTCACACCTCTGGATGTGTGCATCTTCCCTCTCTCCCAGTCTGGCTCCAGGAAAACATTGAACCCCAAAGTAGTGAACAAGACCTCATCACACAGTAGCAAGAAGGGGTTCTCTGTTTTATTCAACCATTACTTTTAACATCACGTCTATGCCGGGACCTCTACTAAGAACTGAGATGCAGCAGTGAACAAGAAAAGCAAGAAGCCCAGTTCTATGAGATTAGATCCTGATGATCATGAAGGGATAATTTCTACACCAGCCCAGAGCCAAAGTATAATAATTCACTGTGGCAGAAACAGAAGATGAGCCCCAGAAACTGGTATCAGTTGTTGGAGCATTGAAGTAATGTGAGACTCCAGGGGTGAGTTGGGGTTCTCAGAGCATTTTCACACTCCGCCTATGAACCCTCGGGTCCCTTTGGCCTACAGCTGTAAACTCAGACACTCTCAAATGGGTGGCCATTTAAAACCAATTGGTGCCAGAATAGCTCTGAAACCAAAATAGTCCACAAAATATCTTTCATAATATGGTTGAACATTAAGGAGAACATTTGGGTACTTGCCTAAGGACCTCACCTACGTTTCCTAATTAAATGCACACATCAACCTTACATTCCCAGATTTTAAAACCTCCTCACACCTGCACTAAGAAAAGGTGTTCTTTCACCTATTTTAGTTTTTAAGAATTAAAAACATAAATTATACAAATTTTGTAGGCACATATCAATGTATAAGGAATAGAAGGGCACATGTGTGTGTATCTGTATGTATAATGTATATAATATGTAAGTATATAACTTGCTATATGTATTATCATTTTCTATATAATAAAAATCACCAAGTATTAGCCACTTCATGGGGTTCTATATAATACATCTGTGTGATCAGAACCCATGCTTTTAACCGTTACACATGGAAATTTCCCTTCTCTTGCTTGGGGAAGCCAAGCACAATGTATTACTTTGGAACTGTGAGGACTCAAAGTTGTCCAAAATTCTGAAACCTCTTACTAGATAATTTCATTTCTTTATATTTATATACCTTCCAACTGACAATAAATCCTCAAATACAGTGGTTCTCAACCTTGGCTGCACATTAGAATCACCTGGGAATCTTTTTAAATCCTGACTTCTGGGCCTCATTCCAGGTGATTCTAATGTGCAACCAAGGTTGAGAACCACTGCTCAAATATATTAACTTTATATGCACAATAACTGTTTACTGAGAACCTCTGTACCATTCACAAAACAAGTGAAATTCTTTCCATTTTATAGATGTGGAAACTAAGACCAAAAATTTAAGTAACTTTCCCAATGTCTCTCTGCTATTTGATGGTGATTCTGCCCAATAACTTCGCACAGCCTGATGTCCTGACATATTTTTTTCCTGGGATATTTCATAAAAGTAAAGAAGAGGTTGCAAAAACTCAGGGACTCAGTCACACTCAGATACATGGAAATAAGAGCAGATTTGTTTCAAGAAACCTGGAGTTGCTTAGAGTGTGGATATCTCAGGTAATGGTACCCCAGAAGGAAGAAAGGTAAGGACATACTTGATTTCTGACACCCATAAACACGTGCGCACGCACACACACACAGTGCTGATTTGAGGATTCTAGTCACCTGCGACCACGTTCCCATCCTAAGTGAAGAATAGCCAATATTTGGTTCAGCTCAAAACACTGTCTACATACATACTAATCATAAGTAACACACTAAGTGAGACATACACAACACACAAGGATGGATCACTCACTCAAAAACATATACTAACACAATCTGACTCATGACTCGTCTCCTAAACACTCAACTCAATGCATATACATAACTTAGGCACTGTACACACATCACCAAAAGCACACAAGACCACAAACAATTACAAAATGGCACAAGAGCTTGGCCAGTATAGCTCAGTGGTTGAGCATCGACCTATGAACCAGAAGGTCACGGCTCAATTCCCAGTCAGGACACATGCTAGTGTTGTGGGCTCGATACCCAGTGGGGGGAGGGGTGCATACAGGAGACAGCTATACAGGAGACAGCTGATCAATAATTCTTTCTCATCACTTATGTTTCTATGTCTCTCTCCCTCTCCCTTCCTCTCTGAAATCGAATATATATATAAAATCTCACCAGAAACACTCATCACAACACATATGCACACCCAACCACACACTCACTACAACAAGTAGCACACACCCTCCTATTACTGAGAGGCAGGCCCACCCTTCTGACCATCCCCTTCCAGGGGACGGGTGTCTACCTGGTGCAGTTAAGCCTGTTCAATCACAGGCAGTCATTAAACCAGCTCCTATTACTGATGCACCTGGTCACATACACATGGTCACATACACACACAGAAAACCAAACAATACACCTTCCAGCTCTCACACACGAGTGTGTCACTCACAGCACAGTTCCCATGTGCACCAGTACACGCTGCTGAGCAGAGATGCAAGCCCTCTCTGAGCTGCCCTTGGTCCTGGTAAGGTTAGGCATCTTCTTGTCCAGCAGCAGAGACAATAGTCTCACTCTTGATGCTCAGCTGTGATGCCAGTGTTTATGCTGACAGGCATGAATCAGGAGTCCCTAATCACACGCCAGGAGGCTGATAACTTGTTCTACATGCATTAAAACCAGCCTGTGAGTCAGATATATAGCACACTCACACACACAAACACACACATCCAACCATTAAATAGCATGTACACACATATACAATACATGCAGACACACACACAGTCATGGACACAGAGTCTCATACATGAACCTACTAGCACACAGACAGATCCATTGCCAAGTGCAGATTTCCAACTCCTCTCACCTGGGCTCATTGGTGAGTTCAGATACTTTCTGCTCCAGATTATCACCCATCTCCTCAGGTTTTCTTCAGGAGACCTAACATCCAGACACACAGAGGCAATATCTGTGGCCGTGGCACTTCTACTGACTTTCCTTGCCCTTAACCAGCTCCAGAGAAATGAGTCCACAGATAGCACTTAACTGCTAATGAGAGATGGCAACCAAGTCCCCAAGCTTGTGGCTGATTTCTGACCGCCCTTTGGGGAGCTGAGTGTCCAAGAGCCAGAGGGACTGGAGTCCTAGGGGACAGTGTCCCTGATTCCAGTCATGCCCTGGCCACCTTTCTTCTTGGGCGTTGCTCCAGCTGGGAAAAAATATTTTTCAACTTTTTATTTTGAAATGATTTCAAAGATATGTAAAAGTTGTGAAAATGATATTAAGAATTTCTGGCAGGCTTCTGCAAGATTCCCTAATGGTTAACATTTTTCATATATATATATATAATTTCAGGCATTGATTTTCAGCATATATACCACAGTGCATATAATTAGAAAGCTTATGATATTAATTTTTCCAATTACTAGTGTTTTTATCCTTGATCAATTGGCTAAGGTTGGTGTCTGCCAGGTTCTGAACTAAAATATTACCAATTTTTAAAATTACTCTTTTAAGTTTGTAATTAATAGGTACCATTTGATAGTTATTTTGATACTTAAACATAACATTTTTCTTATTAAAATCTCACCCACTATATTTCACATCTACTCCTGATGCTTATATGTCATATATGGTGACATACTGGTGATTTTTCTAATTCTATAGTTTTTTCTTTATTAGTTGTATTCTTTTCTTTATGAAAAAAATTTTTAATGTTGACATTATTGCAGATTCCCCCTTGTCTTCCTCTTTGTCCACCTCTATTATCCTCTCCTCCTTCCTTTTTTGCCTTCATTACACTATTGTACATGTCCATGAGGTATGCAAATATGTTCTTTAGCTAATACTATCAAATTCTTTATCTAGTCACCCCAAGCTTTCTCCCCTCTGGTTTCTGCCTTTCTGTCCTATGTATCCATGCTTCTGATTCCATCTTGTTCATCACTTTATTTGTTAATTAGACTCTACATATTAGTGAGATCATATGGTATTTGTCTTTCTCTGACTTGCTTATTTTGTTAGCATAATACTCTCCAGGTCCATCTATGCTGTTGCAAAGGGTAAGAGTTCCTTCTTTTATACAGCCATGTAGTATTCCATTGTGTAAATGCACCACAGCTTTTTTATCCACTCATCTGCTGATGGGCACGTGGGCTGTTTTAAGATTTTTTTAAAATATATTTTATTGATTTTTCACAGAGAGGAAAGGAGAGGGATAGAGAGTTAGAAACATCGATGAGAGAGAAACATTGATCAGCTGCCTCCTGCACACCTCCCACGGGGGATGTGCCCGCAACCAAGGTACATGCCCTTGGCCGGAATCGAACCCGGGACCCCTCAGTCCGCAGGCCGACGCTCTCTCCACTGAGCCAAACCGGTTAGGGCTGTTTTAAGATCTTAACAAATGTGAATAGTGTTGCTATGAACATAGGGGTGCATATATTCTTTCTGATTGGTGTTTTGGGATTCTTAGGATATATTGCCAGAAGAGGGATCACTGGGTCGAAAGGCAATTCCATTTTTAATTTTTTGAGGAAACTCCACACTGTTTTCCACAGTGGCTGCACCAGTTTGCATTCCCAGCAACAGTGCCCTAGGGTTTCCTTGTCTCCACCTCCTTGCCAGCAGTTGTGGTTTGTTGATTTATTGATAGTAACCATTCTGGCAGGTGTAAGTTGATATTCATTTATAAGAAGGAACGTATTCTCATTCCACACTCATTTTCTTATTTATTCATTTATATCATTACGGATACATGGATTATTATTCTCTGAGTTATTATCCATTACTAATTTTATTTATTTTGAAGCTTTCGGTGTCTTCATTGCTTACAAGGATTCTAAATGATGTTGAGAAGCCAACTAGAAAATATGTATAAAAGCAACATTAGGAAAAAACCTAGAAACTAAGAAACAAAAGGAAAGTTTACCCACAGGTGGTGGGTCATGAGTGGGGCCGAAAGAATGGGGAAAGGGAACAGTATAGGTGTTCATATATAACCTATAAATTGTAATCTATTTATATATTTTAAAACCCATGAGTTTGAATTGATAGCTCCAATTCTAGTTTGACACCACAGAGACCTTTCCAGCCTCTCCTTTTCCATGTACAGAGCTCCTTTCCCCAAGAGTGAGAGTCACTCCCTTTTCCTCCATGTTTATTTAATTGTTGAGTCTTTGGATATATGGTGAGCTGTTACAGATTCTTGAACACATACCACAGTTAATGGCACTCTAAAGCTTAAAACTTTGTTTAGAGGTGTGTGTTTTTAGTTGTGAGAGTATATAGACAAAATTCTGGTTTCAAGAATTGCTTAGGTTACTTATTTTATTTTCCCCTTTAGACTAATTATGATGTTAATTCGAATATAATTTCAGTTCATTTGTATTGTTTTTATCCTATTTTGCTTTATTCACCACCTCTCCTATTTATTTTCTTAGTGGCAAAATACAGCATAGTCAGAACTATACAAATAATTCTATTCATCTCCCCATCTCTTCTATCCCACCTCCTGTAGGTAAACAAAGATTCTAAATGATCTCAGAGAAGCCAACTGGAGAATACATATCAGTATCTGATTAATTCTTCCTGTGCTTCTTTCTGTTCAGATGGGCAGACACATGTATATTTCATTCCCCTTCATTTTTACATAAAAGGAAGCATGCTATAAATGTTCTTTTATACATCGCTTTTTTTCATTTAGCAATATATTCTAATATTTCTCCATGTTGGTTCATAGATATCTTTGTTCTTATTTTTCTCACAGTTGAAAAATATTCGGTTGATATTTTATAGAGTTTTTTTTACGAGCCATAAAATGAGATTGGTGATATGTGTCCTAAATGCCACTGAATTGCATACCTCAAATGGCTAAAAAGAAAGTAAGAAGTGATCTCTGCATACAGCACAGAAAAGAATAATAAAACAATAATAATGATGTATGATTAATAAGGTAATAGAGAGATAATTGAATTTTAAAATATGTATTTAATTAAAGTAGAAGACGACAAGAGAGAATATATGCAAAACAGATGTATCAAATAAAAAACAGAGTAATATGGAAAATATAAATTCAAATGTATCATGATTACACTAGATGAAAATAGACAAAATTCTCCAGAAATATAATAGTTGCTTTGCATAAAATGAGCAAAAGCCAGCATTACATTTTTAACAATGCACACCTCACAGAAGAACAAAGAAAAGTTTAAAATGATAGAAAAGAAATATCATTTAATCACTTACCACGAGAAAGCTGCATCTTGACCAGCTATACTATACTAGTACCTATATCTCTACCTATATCTATATCTGTATATCTATCTATATCTATAGATATAAAGTATTTATACTAATATCGGAAGTAAATGAGGTATTAAGGTAGGACCTATTATTAGAAAAGTTTTCCTAATCATAAATGGAAGTGGTATGATCTTAAATGCATTTTTTAAAAGTCTCTTTCTCTCTTTTTCTAACAGCCTGGCTTTGTAGCACATAACAATTTTCATACTGTAATTATTCTTATCATGGCTGATTGCAGTCAGACAAAAATGATGTCAATGATTGTGAATTAGGAAGGGATGCACACAAGCAGCTTGAAGCCAACAAAAGTCAGCATAAAAAAATCAGGTTATAAAAAAAGAAAGATCACCAAGAGAAAATCATGATGCTAAATAAGTGGCTCTTTGATAACATGAAATTTTTAAAAATGCATAAGCAAAAAATGAATTATCACAAAACAGAAAGAGACAAAACCACAATTATGATTGTGCAACATGTTTTGCATAGGATTTCGCATATTCTATACCAGGGGTCCTCAAACTATGGCCCGTGGGCCACATGCAAATACAAATATTGTATTTGTTCCCGTTTTGTTTTTTTACTTCAAAATAAGATATATGCAGTGTGCATAGGAATTTGTTCAAAGTTTTTTTTTAAACTATAGTCCGGCCCTCCAACGGTCTGAGGGACAGTGAACTGGCCCCCTGTTTAAAAAGTTTGAGGACCCCTGTTCTATA